CCCTTCGGTGATGATCTTGAAGGAAACCAAACCAAACCTTACAACTCTTAATTTATGGACTGAGTAAAAACAGTGTTTTCTCGATTTAGAGCCTGCCAGATGAATCCATTAGATGGGCAGCTTGGACACACTTCTCTCTGAGAGAAGGGTCATTTGTGGGATGCAGTCGAGACAGCCCGGTTCTCAGGAGCAGTGTTCCAGTGTTAGACTCAAAAATGTTTCAAAACCCTTCATTTTTAAACTTAGTGATCAAAGGAGAGGGCGGTAACACAGAGAGAAACTTTCTGATCGTTAAACTCTTGCAACCTGAGCAAAACTTGTTCTTTTTCCAAGAACCTCTCGTTTTTCGGCAACTTGAATAAATAAATGAGAAGGAATGGTGTTTGGCTGACAGGGAAAAGAAGAAAACAAGATAATAAGGTTTCTCCCCCTGAAGGTTTATTTGATTTTACTTCTATAAACAATTTTAAAGCAAACCAGCTCCAGCTTTCCCCAGCAGACAGAACGATATTCTATAAACTTCTTGGGTTGCGCTTGATTTCCAGACTTGACTTTGCCATCAGACGCATTGCGAGGCAAACAAAACAACACACACTCAAATGTAAACCAAAAACAAACACCACAAAACCCTTCTGCATTGGGTGCTGGCAAGGCTTTGTCATACCCTTATTCTAAAAAGGCAACAAGAGTACTTTTCCACTTCTCACGGCCCACAGGAAACAGTGAGCGGTCTACCATGTTGGACCATCCTCCAAGTGTTAGCACCGGCTTCACGTTTACAGCCAAAATGTCCATGGTGGACCAGAGCTTGGTCTTTGGGTCTCTCCTTATTTCTGTCTGTGTTCTCTGGACATGACGTCCAACGCATGGTTTTAAACACCATCTGCACACAGACCATTCCCAAATTCACACTGCCACCAAGGCCTTTCTCCTGCACACCAGACACACATCCATCTAGAAGTGTGTATGGAACGGAACACGTGCACATGTTAGCTCCGGGTGCACCCCCCACAGCGGCTCCACTCAGCTTCCCCCATCTCACGCAAAGGCATCCCGTCTCTTCCTTCGTTCTAGCATAAAACTTGGCACGCCACCCCTCGTCCAATCCATTAGTGTGTCCTGCTGGCTCCCCCTTCAGTGCACATGTATCGGGATCTTTCCCAGGCTGCTCCAGCATCATCTTTTGCTGGGCCAGTAACAACAGGTTCCCAGAGGCGGGAGAGGGAAGAAACCAAAGGTCCGAAAGAGCACTTTCAAAATTCCCATCAGTTTTTTTAAAATTTACTTTTGGTCTTGATAGCTTATTTGAGATTTCAAGTAACATTAAATGAGGTAAAGAAGCTTTTTTTTTTTTTTTTTTTTTTGGATTGGAGAAACTGTATTTCAAGGACAGCATGGGCTTCTACTTTCTAATTTCTAAGGGTTTCCTGTAGGTCAGATGTAGGATTTCACTCCCAGCAAGCTTTTCGAGGCTTCCTGCTTCTCTGTATTTTTTTTGGCGCAGAATTTTTTTAATACACATAAAAATGTAACTAAGACATACCCAAATGTGTGGAGTTTTGTTTTGTTTTTGTTTTTGCAAGGCTCTGAGCCCCTGACCCCTTGTATCTGTCCCACACAACAGACAACAAGGATGCTAACTGCAGTGCTTTCCAGGCCAGGAGGAATATAAACATGGTGGAATTATTTGGGGTTCATCTGAGTTCCACTATTTAAAACTCTCCCTTTCGCTCTCCTTTATTCTTTTATGACTGTTAATATCACTAATGACTCCGTGGGCGCTCGCCATATGTCAGGCTCTGTGCTGAGTAATACACTGGCTCAACACATACGCGCCGGGCTTACTGGGTGCAGAGAGTCATCCCGTCCGGGCACGCTCTCACTATTCTGAGGAGCAGAGACAGAGGAAGGTGTAAATAAGTCAAACGCATGGTGTGTAGGGGGTGATATGAGCTATGGAGAAAATCAAGGGTGTGGGGGATTAGGAATGCTGGCGTGCGGCCAGGAGGCTGCACTCCTAGGGGAGGCCGTCAAGGTCAAGGGCCTCCTTGCTGACGTGGCCCCTGAAAAAAATCTTGTGGGAGGAGGAAGCAGCCCTTGTGAACATTCTGTTTAATCCTCACGGAAACCAGAGGTGACCGTGTGACATCATCGTACAAATGATAAAGGCCACAGAATTAAGAACTGGAGAGTCTGGGATTGTGACCAAGATCTGTGGGACTCCAGACACCTTGGTCATAATGAACCATGCCCGTTGCTTTCAGATTTATCCCAAGTGAAGGCTGAATCCAAAGGTTTCCATAATCCCAGACCAAGGGGGATACTGCAGAGGCAGATAAACAAAAATGTGACATTTGTGTAAAAGGTCAAATGCCTTAATTGCTATTAGAGAAACAGCGGGGGTGGGGGGTGGGGGAGGGGAGTCACGGAGGTAACTTGATCTCCTTAACTTGACATTTAATAGGAGCAGTTCTCCTCAAGCTCACACTTTGAGGACAGCACGCTGGCTCAGTTCCAGGCATCCGCCGGACTTGGGCAGACTTTAATTTAGCCGAAGTCAAACAAACGGGGAAGGCATCCCAGCTGTTCCCTGAACACATGCAAACGAACGTCACACGGTAGCTGGAACTCACACTGGCCCCCCCAGCCCTCCAACACATCCCACCGTGAGACGAAGTGTCAAACACCTGTTCGGATGAAGTCCTATCTCAAAAACTGTAAAGGACGGACGTCTGTCTATATATGGTCTGGGGGACTGTCAGGGGCTCGCAATGGAGGCAGAACCACTGCCCAGACCCTGACGAGCCGTCGAGAGAGACACCACTTTCTCGCGGCTCTAAAGAAAAGACGACGGAAGAAGAGCCCCAGAGAAAAACACTCATACCCAAGCGGAGCAGTGACACACATACCACCTCGTCGAGACGGGGCTCCAAACAGTCGAGTCCAGCCACCAGGGGAGGTTTCCGAGCTCGAGTCCGCTCGATCTCTAACTACTCTCTTGGGTTTAGGCCCAGCCCCTCTTAAAAAGCCACATTGCCCCTTTCTGGCCTTAAGTTAGCTGCTCCTAGTCACTGGGCAAGTTCTGACACAGCGGGAGCCTCCCTGTTCTCTGTGCCATGAGAACCACCTTTGTGTCCCGCGCCACGAGGCTGGTGGGTGGCATGAGGGTGCCCCAAGGAGCGTTTGACACAGGCCAGTTAGCCTGGAGATGGTTGGTGGTGGGGACCCAGGCACCTAGGACCTCTCCCGACACAGGCAGGCATGTCCATGCCCCAGGGTGGCACACAGAGCTTTGGGACTTTTAGGGTCTCACAGCCTCCATGTGGCTTCTTCAGGGTCCTCGGATCCCAGGTCAGCAAGCCCTATTTTAGAGAGGGTGCTAACTTAAGTGCTGACTTGAACCAGGGCTGCAGGGTCAGGACTGCCCCGAGAAAGGACGGTTGGATCACAGTAGACATTAAACAGTATTTTGGACTGGATCTAGAAAAATGGTAAGATTTTAACATTACGTATCACATACATTTACACATCGGTCATGCGTTTCCTACATTCAATCTATTACACACACACACCGCACCCTTATTACTTCCACAGTCCACCTGGCAGTTAACTGTGCCTACAGTTAGGTCACATTCCCCTGAAAGGAGGAGAGAAAACAACAACAACAACAACAACAACAAAACAAAACTTTCCACATATGCTATGGACTTAGAAAAACAAGGGCAAACTGTAAGATGTGTCCGTGGGTGATGTCATTGACTTTCTTCTCTCATCAGCTCACCCTCCTCTCAATCCCTGGGCGCTCACCCAGAGCGACAGGATTCCTGGCTGGCTCCCTGCAAGCCTAGGGTGGGCTGTCACAGCCTCTTCCCTGTCCTTCTTTCCAGAGGCCTCCAGCTCAGGACGTGTCCCTCCTTGGGGTCTTTCCTGGCCTTCCTACCTCCTAGGGGGCCCAAATGCACTGATCTGCAACACATTGTCCAAGCCTCAGGGGGCTGTACCCCCTTGCTTCCTGGTTTATCGGTCATCCCCCACACCCCGCCCCCCCAACCAGGACAGGACAAGACTTTTCTGGCTGGAGTCCCAGGACCCAGACACAGCGTCTGAGTCACAATAGATGTACATCCGTGACGTGCCATCCCTGACAGAGGGAGGACTCCCCAAGTCACTCAGTGAGCAGCCCCCAGGAAAACAGCTGCCCTCCAATGTGGCTGCCTATTCTCTAACAATCTGGAACAAGATGATTCCCCAGCGAAGCCTGTGTGAACGGCCTCCCAATCAGAGCTTCCTACCAGCAAGGCTGGGAGGTCAGAGCAAGGGCCAGGGATATCACTTTGCTGGTAAGTGGTGATGAACACACGTTAGGATGTCTGGAGACCTCGTCGGCGAAGCCTGATGAACCCTGGGGTGCCCTCCCCCCCCGCAGCTCCCAGATCTCCTAAGAATCAAGAGAAGGATGCAGACGAGAGCTCCTGGTGTGGTCAGAGGCCACCCTGTGCCTCCTGTCTCAGTCTTACACCTACCCTGCTGGGCTGTTTCTTTCCCTTTTCTAGTCTCTACAGCATTTCCGACTTAACACTGTCCTAATAAGCAAGAATTCAGATTTTCTTCCTGCCGACAGACTTGCTGAACGATGGAAAATGATGCTTGTGTGTGCACAGATTTTAGAAAAGGCAAGTGATGAGTGGACATGACAGCAGGAACACAACTTTCCCCTGCTGAATCCCACGCTCTGGCCAGTAACCCACAGCCTTCAGATGCTGCCTCGGGCCATCCAAAAGCCTAGGATCTGATCCCAAATGGGCCTGTCACTTCCCGCGGGTGAAGTCCCGTGGCCGTATGCCCCAGAACTTTTCCAGCTTCACCAGCCGTAGAAGGCACAACACACGGTCAGCTGCCCAGAGGAACGGGAAAATGTGAGTGGCCCAGTGAAAGCTACTTACTGGGCTGTGGGAAGAAAGCAAGTGAGGCCCCCGGCCCACTCCCCACTCCGTACTTACTGGTCGTGTCTGGTGTCAGGTATGGCTCTGTCCATCCGCAGCTTATCACTTTCCACCTGGTTGAATTTGTTGCGGGCGTACGGGTCCTGCCCAGAGCGGACCATCGTCCCTCCAACGTAAGCTTCTTGGTTGAAGTCCCGCCACCGCACTTTTCCTGCAAGGAGCACAGCAGAGGGTGTGGGACCAGGGGAAATGAGCCCGGGGGGGCCCACACGCACCACGGGAACAGTGCAGCCTTAGGAATTAGTGCCTAGGGCTTCCTCTCCTGGCAATCGTCATCAGCAAACTAGCTGAAAACAGCCCAAGCGAGCACCGTCATGTCCGTCCACTGGACAGTGTGCAACCTGGAAGTCAGAGCCGTGGACCTCAGGTGTTGTCTCGCGAACAAGAGTCTGTGCCAACCAAAGCCTGCACAAGCACGGTGTGGCGCACACTTTGTGACAGAGGAGATTTATATCTGCTTGTCCCACCTTTCCAGGGATTACGGTAATGCCCCAACATACCTCACATATGGTGAAAGAGATAATGTCCAAATTAAGTAATTAATTTATTTTGGGAGAGAGAGACACACAGAGCGCGTGCACATGAGTCGCAACGGCAAGGGCAGAGGGAGACTCTCAAGCCGACTCTGTGCTCAGTGTGGAGCCCAACGCGGGGCTCGATCTCACGGCCCTGAGATCGGGACCTGAGCTGAAACCAAGACTGGATACTTTCACCGATGGGACCACCCTGGTGTCCCAAAGAAATAAACATTTAAACCAAGAATGACGCCCCCGAGCACAGGCTGTCCGAACACCCCTCGGTGACATGCCCTGAGGGATTCTTCTTGCAGCTGTTGCCATGTCTGACCCAACCAGGGGGACACAGAGCCATTCCTACTATACACACCACCCAGCACACGCGTCGAGAGGGAATGAGGCACGGTGGCCTGTCCGCATGTGCAGTGCCCGGCTCGCGGCCAGATATGCAGCCACCCCCCCACAAGGCCAAGCACGGCTTCTCCAGGGAACACGACAGCGGAGCGGGGCGCTTCGACTGGGATCTGGTGTAGGGACCACGTTGGCGGTAGCCTGGGATCTAGGAACAGGAGCGCTGCGGGGCGGGGTGGGCCTGGGCAAGCCTGGGCGCAATGAGGGCAAAACCTGTAGAAGCAGGCGACGGCCTCCGCACTCTGAGGGAAAGAGGCGGAAGGAAAGACAGACTCAAAGCAAAGATAAAATTCAGGACCCGATGTCCACTCTGGCTTCAGACGGCCGCTGCTGCAGGCTGCCTTCAGGATTGTGGTCAAGTGTTTTATTCTTTGAAATACTTTCCTAAAGATAAGTAAGTTTAAAACAATGAAAAAAGGTTCTTCAGGAGGACTTAATGGCCTATTATGTGCAGCAGACCAAAAATAAATAAATAAATAAAAGAAAGAAATGAAAAGAAAACTATGACAACAACCCTGCCTCATGAAGCTCACGAAATTCCAGGTGGTCACAGAAGCTGTGAAGAAAAGGCACGAAGGCGCCGACAGTTCTAGGGCTGCTATTTCATATGGGGTGTCTCATGGGGCTCTCTCATATAGGGTTACTCTCATAGGGTTACTCTGAGCAGACATCCAGACAAAGGGAGGGACTGGGCCACACAGCCCTCTGGGAAGAGCACAGTAAAAGGCTCAGGGAACTGCAGTGCAAAGGCCCAGGGGCGGCAGTGAGCTCACCTGTCCTGGACCAGCCAGGACGCCGGTTTAACAGAGTGAGGTGCTGGTCAGAGAGGTGACAGCAGGCTTGCAGACAGCGACCCGAGACAGACCCCTGGGTGCAGGCGATCGTCCTTCTGCCCCATGTCAAGCGTTGGTGGGGCTGGTTAGGTAAGATCGACAATACCTGCACACATGCTTTTCCAACACGATCTCTCCACGTACAATCAAAAGGACGACGGGTTCCTTTCTCTGTGTCAGTGATGAGGAAACTGAGATTCACTTACAGATCTGTTCAAGGCCACAGAATAAATTTCCCATCCAAAAGCTCATCTGCTTCTTGTTGCAACTGTCCTGCGAGGTCAAAACCCCCATCTCATCGCAGCTGGTTGCCGTGGAAATGATGGCTGGGGTCACAGAGGTCCGATCTCTCAAATGGAAAAGCAGTTTCATGACTCACGAACGCTCTGGCTAGGGCAAGTCCACGCCCCTGATAAATGTCTGGTCGCGGGAGCCAGCCAGAGCGGCAGCATTTTCTCCCACCTAAAATAAAATGTTTCCCAAACATTTTCTTGGGGAAACATGTTTTGCACACTAAGGCAACCCTAGAAACACTTACCGGTCCTCCTCTCTCCCCACCTTTCTGCCTTCTGCCTCATAGACTCTTGGGGACAGAGGAGGAAAAAACCCCGACCTGTGCTCAGACTAACTGAAATCAGAGCCTCAGCTAGAATCCATACCTGCGACACATACCGTGGAACTTCAGTGAGTTGGTTCCCACCAATGCTTACTGGCCTGAATACCCTTTACTGCGACAACGAGTTTGCACGATGGAACCAGGAACTGTGGGGCCCCCCACCCACAGCCAGAGAAGAGACCGTCACCCAAGAGATGTTCCATCGCTAATGGTTATGCTCTACGTGAGCCTCACCGGGAGCACTGGGGACAGTAAGCAGGAGGTCCGCTCACTCTCGGTCAGGGTGGGTCTGTGTGTGGAAAGAGCAGTGGCCAAGGGCCAAGGCCTCTGAGGAGCTCCTGGGGCTTCGATCCCATCTGCACATCTTGGGCTATGAGACCCCCGCCCCCTTTCTGGAAAAGACTCGAGTACAGCAGAGGGTTTTATGGGATGCCAGATGTCAGTCGCCGGGTCAGGGACGTGGCCTGAGGCCACTGGTTTGTACAAGGGTGTGGACTATATGCTAGGCCTGGCAGTGGCTCCTGAATGAACAAAACTAGACCTGTCCCCTGGAGGTCATGTACTAGAAGATGGAGGGAGGCAGACCATACAATGACCATCCTGATTAATGTGTCGTTAACAACTGGGCCACGTGCTCTGAAGGCAGGAAATGTAGTTCTGTGGTGGCATCTAACAGAGGAAACTGATGCAGACGGGGGGCGGGCAGGGAAGGCTTCCCCGGGGAAGGACCGTCTGAGCTGAGCGCTGAACAATGAGTAGGAGTGACAGACACATACCCTCCGGAGACAGCAGGAACCACTCAGAGGCAGCCCACCGTGACTGCTGCCCACTCGGGAACATCTTCAACAGGACTTCTGGGGGCTCTGCCTTGCCTTGTGACAATTTTCCCACAGCATCAGACCATTTTACTGGAGAAAGACTATAACTGGTTTCTCTTCCATGAAAGTTTAGCAGGATGTTGGAACCCAGCAGGGAGATGTTGGACTAAAGGACACGCATTTTCTCTCCTGTCCCAGATGTCACGACGTGCATGTACACACACAACCGAAATGACGGTTTCACCCTTCCTGCATGTGAACAGATCCAGTCTATTTTTCTTACGTGGCTGTGACAGATCCTCTAATAAAGGGTCACAACCCGTAATTTGAAAAACGCAGGGATAAAGAACCATTATAGAAAGGAGATATTTCTGTGTTATATAGCTGGAACCGCCCGAAAAGGGAAAGGCAAGAGAGAGAGAGAGAGCGGGGTTTCCAGAGGGGACATATGTCCCAGTCCAACCCCAGGCAGCAAGGGAAGCCCCCGGATGCAGAGAGCACAGAACAGGAGGGGCATAAGTTACAGGCTGGAGTGAAATAACCAAAAAAACAGACATAATGTCTGAACATCCCGACTTTTAAAAAATGCCATCCATACGTCGTCTTGTACTTCCGCCGCCTCTTTAAAATTTGTAGAAAGCACTTCGCAAATTAAGAGCTTTCGAAAACAGACACACAGAAGCAAGTCTAGAGATCATGCACTTGGGCCAGCCAGAAGCAGTGGGCAGGATATATCCCGGAGATAGAGAACTTTACAGGACAAGCCAGAGACCGGCTTCATCCCCAAAGACGATGGGAAAACAGCTGGCAGTCACAGAACCCGACAGCAGAAAGTGGGCATGACCCCAAGAAGGCCCGAGAAAACTGCTCTTTTATTAAATGAGGTCATGAAAATATTGAGGAAGAAACCGATTTCCAGAAGATAGACTTTTCTGAGAAGGAGGGACTGAGTGGCCTTGGGAGTGCCGAAACCTAAGATTCTGAAAGACTGAGACTCTTCCTGATGGTGTCTGTGCAGACAGGATGAGGCACCTGTCGGGGCCCTCCCCCCTCACTGCAGCCCCTCTTCCACCTGCGAGAGGAGAGGAGGGGGCCATGGGTAAGTTAACCTGTGTCTGCGACTCCTAGGAAACACTTGGAAAAAATAATAAGCCCAGGATCAGTCTCTGCTTGCCTCAAGCAGGGGGACGGTGTGATACCATCACACTCCCAAGCAGGAGAGGCGGAGGGGAGAGCAGAGGGGAGGTTTGCTCAGAAGCACGGGCACCGCTGCTGGCAAGAGGAAGGGTCAGGACGGAGCCTAGGCTGGAACACGGGAGTTTGAGGGGCCTGTTCTCAGATGGTGTAAGTTTCACTGTGGGTTATGATCAGCGAGGCCCCTCAGTTTCTTTCTTAAACTGGTTTCGAATTTCTCAGGTGAGGAAGCACAGCACCCAGCAGCCTGACTTGCAGGCCAGGGGGTGCCTCCCTCCACCCTTCCGCCCTGTCCCTGCCCCACCCTGAGGGCCGGCAGGCGCCAGCCGCAGACACAGATGCCCTCCTTCTGCTCAGAAGGGGGTGGGGACAGAGGGTCGCCGTGCAGGCCGTGTGTATGTGGACAGGGTGGGAACGGGTTTCTGGCCCCATCTCTGCATTCTCACGTCCCGGTGAGCCCTGGAACCCACCCTGTCGCATCTGACAGCTGGAAGACTCTCTTTTAGGGGCCGCTCAGCGTCTTGTTCCCGCTCACACGTGCAGTCCTGGGGGACTGCTCACTGCCTACGACAGCCGTTCTATTTTGGGTCAACTTACTGTAAGGAAGTTGTTCATGTTGGAGGAGACATTCTCTGCCTTCTGTCTTCCCCAAGTTGTGTGGCACAGGACGGCAGGGAGAGGATGCCAGTCCTGAGAGAGCACGCAAGAAGGAAGGCGGCCTCTGGTCCGGAACTACACACGTGGACGAGATGAGTTTGTGACCC